TTTATGTCTGTTACGCTAACAATCAACTTTCTAGCAATGAAATTTTCAAATTTTGTTATTTACGACAATGCAATTAGAAAATAGCTAGATAGAAATTAATTTTATTTATGCTTTAAATTTTGTTTGAGATACTTTTATCATATATATTGTAACACTGATCATTGTATATATTATATATTTATTATGTACGAGTATATGTACAAAAACAAAAAAAAATTTTCATTAATAACAACAATTTTCGGCTATACAAACTACAAACGTAAACACAAATCAAATCTAAAACGCCAAAACAAATAAAATTTTAAATTAAATTAAGTAACAAGAAAAACCTTCCAAAAAGTAACCCGAAAAATATGAACAAAAAAAAAGACGACGACCTTGAATTTTATATTACTAGAATCGAAATAAAAAAAAAAATAAAAAACTGCAACACCAGCGAGCACGTGAGTTATGAGTTAATTTTTATGACGTAGACACTTTGTATTAAACACGTCTTTATATACGTCTGGTATGAAAATCATATGTGCTATATGAATTTTTTTTCATATACAAGTAGGTATTTTGTAGTTGTATCTATGAATAACATTCAAAACATATGATGATTATGTAAATATTTCGGCCTGCCACCCTCTTTTTTTTTGGGGTTTTGTTCCTTTTATTTTTTTACTTTTTGTTTTGTTTCCTTATTATCGACTAAATAAGAAAGTAAGTATATAGTAAGTAAGTAAAATAAGAAAAAAATTATTTTTTGCTCACTGATTATTACTTTTTTATTAATGATAATATTTTGTACATGACTAAGCGTAATTCGATCACAATGAATTAAATCAATACTCGCAAAAACACAGAAAAAAAAATGATAAATGAATTTAATCAAAATTTCGTTATTTTTAGAAATCGCCACACTATAATTACATGAACAGAATAATTCATGAAATTTGTGCAAAGTTTTCAAATTAGACTTATTGCTTATGTATATTTGTCTATACTTTATAAATCTGAAAACTCATATAAAATATATTTTTAATATAAAATTCTACTCAAGAAATTGTAATAGTCACGTACATTTAAAATTTGTTTTTTTTTATCGTAAATATTTTTAATGAGTATTGCGATTTATGAATTAAATTTTTTTAAATAAAATTTAAACTAGAAGTCAAGTTTTTCATATTTCATATAACCACACACACGCTGCTCGTCATTGATAAAATATGCTCTTAAACGCATTCATAGATCGTAATGTTTTTTTGTATCAAATTAAAATAACAAAATAATTTTTCGCTTAATCCACATCATTCATATCCTAAATGATTTTAGTAATCTTCTAATTAACAAAATATTATGCTTATATTTAAGATTTAAAATTATTTGTGTGATTTTTATATTATTTACTCGTATTAGTTCTGTACAATTAGAAGTTTGAGTATTAGAAATTCAATTAAAAAATTTTTATTTTAATTAAATTCAAAAATAAAAATTTGATAAGAAAATTTGGATAGAAATCATATAAGTGCATTTGAAATCTAAAATATTTTAAGCTTTGCGATCTAAGAATTATTTTAAGACTGACGATTATTTTATGGTTTATATTAAGGGGATATAGATATTATCGTCTAAGCTACTATGGTCACTTTAACTTCTTAAAATTGAAATTAATCAAGTAAATATGAGTAAAAGACTTAATTACATTATTACGGAAACTCGAAATACCCACCTAGTTATATTGTGAATTACCCATATAACCAAGTAAAAGTTATAGAAATTTTCGAGTCGATAACAATATAACGCACAATGAAGTTTGCTAAGTTTTAAAAGTGCGAGTTACATTATCTTGAGTTTATTAAACAAGTTTTGGTAATTTACAATACTATTGCAAACGAACCTATGCCTATTTTAAAATCTCAAATTCTTACCAACAGAGATTCACTGTAAGATCAACTTAAAATTTAACGGAAAATCATACCACTTTTTATAACTCTTTCTAGAATTCTTTTGTACATTTTAATTATTAAAAATAATTTATCTTAAGCCTCTTATGATTTAATGAAAAATTATTACACATGTCGTATGCACAAACAAAAATGAGTGGCAAGAATATTTAATGGCGTAAAAAGACCATACAGCGACGTATACATTTTTATATTATAATCAACTTGAAATAAGTTTATTGCACAAAAATAGAATCATAAAAAATTGACGATGTCCTGTTTTATATCAAAAAATTTAAATATCATACCATTTTAACTTAATCATATCACCTGGCTTCTTTGTATACACATTATTGTTTATTTAAAGTATAATTATTTAAGAAAACAACAATTTATTATATAATAAGCGGATTTTGTATTATGATGCTGTTTGCCTATTTAAAAAATTCAGTTGGTCGGCCGACTCAGCACATCACAGGAGAGAGCAATTTTTTTCTATAGAAATATTGTTGAACATTTTTTTTCAAATTTTCTACACATACATATGTAGCTATGTGTATCAAAATTCCAAATTCTTGTAGTTATATACGAGTACATGTATTTTTTTTATATTTTATGTATACAAAACTTTAGCGCTGCACAAAAAGAAGTTGTGATTATTTAATTTTGGATAAAATAAACCATTCATTTATTACATTCAAACCATACAATACTTAAGTATAACGGTAAATATGAGTGTGTGGTAAAAGAAAAATTTGTAGAAACCATAAACAAAAATAATGATGGTACAGTCATTGGTATGGTATAGTCATTAGTACTTGAAAAAAAATTCGTGATTCTTACGTATGTACGTTTTTCAGAAAATGTATTGTAGTCGAATCAATTTATAAGACTGTTTAAAAATATTCCCTTTTCATCACTGATGCGACAAATCAATTAAATAGAATTTTGATGAATAACTTTCATTTAAAACTTTTGCATTTTTAATTAGATGTACGATTATAAAGCTGACTCATATTTTTACGACTGATTTAATCGTCAGAGATTAGGAATTTTTCACTTTTTCGAAAAAAAATTAGGTAACTAATTCCGAATTTCAAAAGAAAAAGTTATGACAATAAAATGTTGTTATTAAATCCTATAGCACAAAAGCAAAACAAGTTTTAACTTTGATAAATCGAATCTCATCAACATGCTAAAAATTTAATTAAATGTGGCTTACTTATATATTAATAATAAATACAAAAGAAAAGTAAATTGTAAATATATGGGCGCCAGATATAGTTTTATAATTTTGGTGATAACAAGGCATGATAACATAAACACAATTTGTGTGCAGTCTAGCTAAGTATAAATGAAGCATGTATATGACATGCTAGTGTTTAAGATTATGAAACATTTTGGCTACATATTAGAAATCTATTATAAAAAATTGAAAATTCAAGGTTACACTGTTTTTTTTTTAATCAAACATCACATTCTCTCATTGTATTCGCCTTTAAATACTTTGAGTGACAAGTTCATTGAAAAAAGTAGCATTATATGTATGACTATGAACGTCTTGCAATAAAATTAATTTAAATTTAATTTAAATAAGGTTATAAGAGGTTACAGTTTTTTTCGTGTGATCATTTTTACTCTCATATTCGCAGATAATCAATTTTATTTTGTTTGGTTTCGTCTTCTTACCAAATATACGTACTTAATTATAGTGTATACATATATATTATATGTAATACACTTTTGTAAAAAGTATAAGCAAGCGCAAATAAATTCGGAAGTAACTACATAAATTTAGATTCATGTGATGTTATTTGAGGGTTAATTTAAATCACATATTTATTATAATAAATTGTATAATTAAAATTAATTTCATGTAAAGGATTTAATTTATTGTTAAGTATTATGTGTAGCGTTAAGTATACTAATCTGACTTCTATCTTTAAGGAAAATATTAATGACAGATTTATAAAAATAATTCAATGTGTAACTGATAGCGCAAATACACTTTTGCGTAGTGGTACTTTTTTGATCGATTTTATTCATTTTTGAAAAAGTGAAAATTTCTTATAAAATTTGAAAACTCAAGTAAACAGCCTCTTTATTTTGTGGTATGCCAGTGCCTACGAATTTTAATGTGGTGCAACTATGAAAGGAGAGAAATTTAAACAACTTCAAAGAATTTTAAAGCATAATATAATTAAAACATTCTGGTTATAATTGAATTAATTAATTAAATGCACATTAATATTAAAATATATATTAGAAAAAATAACACTAAATTAATTATTTATATAACTAACACGTTTTAATAACAATTAAAAAGTTAACTAACACGTTTTAATTATTCGTATAACAAAAACAACAAAGCATTTCCTTATACGGAAAAAACACCAAAATATACATAACAGTTTAATCAATCCCCCCATATCATTATTAGAAAAATAATGTACGTATGTACACATATGTATATTATCGCATAATTTTTTCAATTTGAATCTAGTAATATTTTAGTCATTTAATTTTTCCAGATTTTTATAATTAATATACTGCAATTACTCATTAACATATTATTCGCGTCAACAATTTATGTCATAAATTAAATTGGTTATATATAAATAACAATTACTTATAGTTATTATTGTAAAGTTATTTATAGGCGGATATTTTAAAAAATTTTATCTATTTTTTATTTCTCACAGCTATTTCTAATAAACTTATACAAATATTTCGCTATAAATTATTTTTTTTCGAATTCGTTATCATATGATAACTTACTGCTTATCAAATGAAAATAATATTATTATGTAAGTACTTAAATTAAATACGATAAGGATAAGCGTACCTATTGCTATACAAAAAATACGTCATGAAAATCAAATATACTATTGTTAATAAAATATAGTAAAGTAAATTAGTAACAATACGCATTAAGTATTTAAATACTTATTTTTATTCAATAAAATTAAACTCATATTTTAAAAATAAAAATATTTTCAAACTTATTACTTATGTTAATTCAATAAAATATAATGATAACTTATTATTAAAAATTTTATTAAAGATACTTACACCGAATAACATTACAGGTGAAAATTTATAATCCTCTATAGAATGATATGATGATTGAAAATTTTATTTAAATTAAAATTTAATAGGCTTTTAATGTCGAACAATTTATTTTTAATATTCGACAAGCTTTTACTTAATGAAAAATTTCTAGTTTTATTATAAATTTATGCTACGATACAATTGAAATGGTTGCAATTTTTAGTGAAACTTTTTGATTTTTCTGTTGTCAAAATACAAATTCCAATTATAAGCGTTTTACACAAATTTTTATATTTTAATCAAAGGTTTTTCTGATTTATTATTTGTATATGTATACTTTTAAAATATAAATTTATCTACATAAATAAAAATCAAATAAAGAAAATTATTTTACAATTTATACAAAATATAAAATTGCATATTATTATACTTATATATAAAAAGTTATTGTAGCTAGATAATATTGGGAGCTGCTTTTAGTCAAAATAACGATACACTTTGTTGCATACATACTTAATATATTAATATCAGTAAGTACCACATCGAAAATTATTAATAAATTAAAATTGCCAAAATTCTTAAAGGTATTGAAATATCCATAAACAATTTGGAAATTATACATATATTATAAGTAGAAACTTTGTAATTTAAGGAAATTTTTGTATGTTGCTGTAATAATTTTTTAACATTATTATTTTCAGTTTGATATTTATTTCTTTAAATATAGCTTGAAATATATTTTTACTACTTATACTATATTTCGAATAATTTTAATCAAATTATATAATTTTGAATAATCAATTTTTTTAAATCAATTTTTCATTCAATTTTATAGTGATCGAACAACTTATTGGTTACCTTAAGCAAAATAAAGCGTGGATATAATCTGTCAAAATTTAATTCTACTTCAATTTTTTTGGCAATATATGGCAACTTTGATTGAATACAAATATGGTATAGCTTGAATTCTACATTGCTTTTATGTCTACAATTTTATGCAAAAAAAGGGATAAAAAGGAATTGAAGTTAAATAAATATCAAGTAGAAAATATGATATTTTTCCTCTGATTTGGTTAAGTGAATAAAAAAAAATGTCTATGTGTTTGTAATTTAAGGACGACAGATGGTTTAATAACCATCATGTGAAAAAAAATATAAAGCAAAACTTTGAAAATAAAATTGAGATTACAAAAAATTTTCTATTTTTTTCTTTAGTTTTGTTCGCTTCTCTCTCTAATGTAAATGAAGTTTGGAAAGTTTTATATACTTCGGTTTACATACATATTATTTTCTTATACATATATATAAAAGTTTAATAATATTATACTACTATATAATATATATATATATACTTAAGTGTACACATATACACACTAATAAAAAATAGATACTAATAAAAAAAAAAAGGAAGAGATACTACTGATGATGATGATGATCATTGTTTTATGTATAATATGCAATAAGTGATGCTGCATTTTGTTATTATTATGATTTTCGTTGTTGTTGGCGTAATTTTGCAATTGTAAAGTGTGTGAAATTTATACTAAACCTGATTTTTTTTTCTTTTTTATTATTAAAGAAGTTACTTGTTAATATTAATATACGTGCATGTACATACATGTTCTATATACATAAATATAATCTAACAATTATATATATATATATAAGCTTGTTATTATGAACATATGCGTATTGAGAGAAGAGTGAAGTTGTAATGCAAGTTTTTGTTATTTTAAATTTTTTGTTCTTTTCTATTTAAAATTTTGCAATAAGTCCTTGCGAAACAAAATAATAATATAACAATAAAAATGTGTAATGCAAAAATGATTTTGAAAATAAAAATGGCTGAATTTTTATTACACGGAAAATTATTTTAATAATAATAGCTATATGAAAATTTTCTCTAAATAAAAATATGAAAGATAAAGCTTAGATACCTTTATTTAGTTTTGATCAACACTTCTCTCCTTATAAGAATATACTGGTCAAGAGAAATATTTATTCAATAAATTCTCAAAAATTTATTTAAATTTGAAAAATTTAACTGTTTTAGAATATTATTAATTTTCCTTTATTCAAAAAGCTTTATAAAAATTTAAAAATTTCTCTTTAAAAAAAAACTTTTTTTTTATATTAAACAAAAAAATTATCTTTTATTTGATAATTTTTATGAAAAACGTCCTTTTCCTTTTTAATGATGCTAAAAGCCGAAAATCTAGTTATTTATGGTTCTTTGTTTTGAAAACGCAGCAACACCATCAAAAACAAAGACTGTATGCAGTTTTTTTTTATTCACACACAAAATGTTAAAACAATAGAAGATGCTGTTTGCGATTTGACTGCAGCATAAGCAACAACAAAAAACAAAGACAGGGGAGAAAATCTTATCTAACTTCAAATTTCTTCGTCTAAGTTTTGAAATTCTATTTATTTTATTATTTTGTACTTTATTTTGATTTTTAAAAAATTTTAACACTTTTTTGATAAGTTAAAATAAATTTGCTTATTTTATTATTTTTTCTTATTGTTGACAAAACAATTGTTAAGATTAATTTTTTTATCAGAAATATTTAATTTTATTTAATTTTTTTTCTTTTTAACTCACTTATTCTTTATTTATTTAATTTTTTCTTTTTTTTTTGTATTACTCTTTTATTCGATAATACCAAAAATACAGAAATAATTCAAGTGAAAACTTAATATTTTTAATTTTTATTGAAAAAATTATTCGCCGATTATTGTAGAGGAATTCCAGAAATAAAACACCTCTTAACAGTCGGGTATATCGTCCGAAACTGAAATCAAATAATATGCGAGAGCTGCATTGAACCCTCTGCTGTGTATGTTATTATTGAACAACTAGTTATTTGCTTTAAAAGAAAAATGTAAAATAAAAATAACAAAATATTTAACAAAAGACTTTGTTGTTAAAACAAAATAAAATAAAAATACGGGAAATACATAAGAAAATTTAAAGGGGAAAAAAAAATTTTTTATATCGCACAACAGTACATAAAAATAATACAAAATTACCAGTATTTTTCATAGATTTGATATTTTATAAAAACGTTTCTCTCTTTTCTGTAAACATAACATACACAAACACACAACATAATAAATTGCGTTATTTATGATTGTATTGTATCTGTAATTACTATTGTAGCACATTTAAACGGTAGTTGGGAGAAATTCAATATCGAAAATGTTGACAGCAACAACAAAAAAATACTCTTATTTATAAATATAAACTGCGCTAAGTTAGCAACTAACGTCATATTCATATTTTATATACCCATATCATAATAATACATAGCCATATTATTATTATTATGCTGAAATACTATATATTATATTATATTATAATTATGACGAATACATTTTAAATAAACAAAAATAATTCGAAAATGTTGAAAAGATATTTTCTCTAATCTAGATTCGAATCGAACTAGAGTGGAAGAAAAATTTCAATTTTCTCTTTTGTTACTTACTCTTAATAAATCATACAAAATTTTACAAATTAATGTTTCTATAAATATATTGGAGAAAACTGAAATATCAAAAATTTGTTTATAAACATGATGTTGCTAGATATTTTGTATATAAAAAATAAATCTCATGCGATAAGTTTTTTTAATATAAGATATTGTTTTGGATCAATCCCTCACACATTAAGTCAGTAACAGTAAAAGTAGTTAATTCAGTTTTTATAATTTCTACAATTTTAGAATTTCAGAAAAATTTTTTGTGAAAATTTTCTTTTGTAAACTCTTTAATTATAAATTTGTTTCAAATTTAAGAATATTTTGCCAATATATTACAAAATATTCTTAAATAACAATTTATACTATAATACGTTATTTGAAACTATATGAATCAGCATTTAATATTGAAAAATAAACTATATTAAGAACTATTATAGGAATGTTAAAAATATTATATAATTTGGTTTTCGAACCAAATTTTAATTATAATTAAAAAAAATTAAAAAGTAATTATTTAAAATACTTAACATATTAATTTCGTTAGCAATACTAAATTATAAATTTTATTGCAAATTCGTAATACACACAAATTTTTAAACTTTTAAGTATCTATTGGATATCATGCGAGTTGCAATTTATCATGCGAGAGAGTTTTATTTTGGTAACATTAAAAAACCAAAAGTTTTCTTCAAAAATGAAGCGTTAATGTTATACCAACACATACATGCATTGTTAATTTTCGAACAAAGAGAATTGAATTGAGAAAATATTATAATCTAATTTTGATATTTTATATGCAACAAAAAAGATAATATTTTGACAAATATACAATAACAGTCTTTAATAACATGTGATTTGAATTTTGAAATCACAAAGCCTGAACAATAGATATTTATGTACATATGTATTTATATAGAGTGTACTTTGTTTTCTTTAAGGGAAAAAGTAAAACATGTTAATATCCATACATAGTGTTTACATAATATTTATTTTTTATGTTGTGCTTATACACATGTTTACATATACATGACGTGCTTATTCATTCTGACACTGCTTAAGTAGGTATACTATCATTTTCATACTCATTCTAAACAAGTACGGTTTTCTAAAATTTTAGATTTAGAATAAATCTCTCAGCCACAATGAAAACGATCAAACCGGTTTGGTTTTACCTGAAAAAAATTATTCATCATTGTAGGTACATAATAATTGTGGATTTATAAAGGTTAATCTTTTGCATTATTATGAAGGCATTACAAAAACATGTGTACATATGTGTATATAAACATTTAATTGCAGGAAATGAGATTTCATTAAATGGTTGTACCATTACTTAACTTATGCAAACTTGTTATTTAAAAAAACAAGGAGTTGAAAAACTAATAATAATTAAAATAAATAGATTTACATAACAGATTTCATACACACAATATCATATGTATTGAATCCAACATCCAAATTTTAATATTTTAAGATAATTTATAAAAAAGATTAGATTTTTAATCTATTGAATTTCTATTTGAAAGTTTTATATTTGTTGTCACATTATGAATATGTACATTGGTATAAAGTCTGTTATTCATTTCGTAACGCTTCCCTTAATTAATTAACTAACTCAAAACTAAGTTTATATGCGCTGATTTTTAAAAAACTGATCTTCAAAATTGTATGAAATTTTATTTTATAAAAACTTTCAAAAAAAAGGAAATAATGTTATCTTTGTTAGAAAAAGAAATAAATATTGACATAGTATGAAGCAAAATATTAAAATTAACTCTAAGGTAACATGACATGTGCCCTTAGAGCCAATTTTTTGTATTTATATAATTGTGTATGTAATTATATTTAATAATATCGCCGCAGCAAACAACAAGTGATTGCTCATCAATATTTGTACATATTTTGAATATATACATATGTGCATTAAAACTTACAATTGTGGATATATACATCCTATACAACAGACCACTACCACAATAATATCCATGTACATACTCAAGGACATGCGTTCTAAATATTACTCGCATTTCAATATCATAAAATTAAAAATTAATGCAAAAAATTTTTTTTTTTTTTTCATTTTAATTTTTTTAAGAGATGATTCTGGTTATAGCTATAATCGTAAAATATGTGAATATATACATATAGCTAACATTCATATATTTTTTGATTTTTATAATGGTACATATAGTCACAATCTTTAGAAAATTGAGAAATAAATAAATCCTGATGATTTTTCTCTGTAGGTATACGCATAATTTTTAACATTCTCCTCCCCTATCTAATTTTCACAGCAGTCCTTACATATTCTAAAAATCTGATGTATTCTGTTTTTAATGGCTCTATGTAGAATTTTTTAACATCTTTGTTATATACTGAAATTGTGTTTTTATTGAACAAAGAGTCCATTTTTAAATTACAATAATGATGAATATTTAAAAATTTAATAAACAAAGAAAAGAAAAAAGTAAAACAGTTAAAAACAACAGAAAGAGAAAATTTATTGCAGACGTAACAAAAATAGTATACGTACACTATGTATATAACGTACATAAGTCCAAAAATATATGTACATAAGTATAATATATATGTATATATTCATTTCCAAAAAGGTTTTTTTGTGCTTTTTTAGTTATTTTAAAGCTTAAAAACAGGAAAAACAAAAAAATAGTGAAAAAATCATAATAATGAAATTAGAAATTGATGCCATAAATTTTACATTCTCTCTAAAAAAGTCTAAGAATGTATGTAACATGCAATATACTCAAAATATATAAAAATATACGTACAAAAATCCCTATAAAGATTCTATAGTAATTTTTTAAATGTATGCATGTAGAAATGCTCATTTACACATATGATGTTGTAGCAAGAAAAGGAATCGGACAAAGACAAGTTTTATGTATTCGTACAAAAATGAGGAAGTATTTTTAATAAATATCTTATTAAAGAATATAAAATTTCAAAACTATGATCTGTTTCTCATTATTCTTCTCTGTTTTATTTTTCAATTTTTTCGAAGGACATCTTATATTAAACCAAGAGCAGTTGATATACTTATACAATACTTTATTGACATACATATTATACACAAAGTGTGTTCACTAACAAATTTTTATAACAAATTTTTTAAATTTTCATTTTAGTATATGGTTAAATTTATTTTGGTCAAAATGATAAAAATCTCAACTCAATATAAAATATACGATGGTATAATATGAAAGTAACGTAAGGATCCCTTGTGTTCTTCATCAATATTCAAGAATGTTGTATATAGCTATTGCACAGGGTTTTTGGTTAAACATGTAAGGATAAAAAACAATTTCGGTTTTTATGTATATAATTTTGGCTTTATAATTTTATTTTTGCTTGCCTTTTTTTTTCTTTCTTTGTATAATTTCGTTTCAGGGTTTAATTAGAAAACTTTGGCATAAAGTATTTAAAAAAAATTGAACAAATTGTGGGTGTAAAAATTTATTATACTTGGTGTTATTATATTAGTAACTTAAAACGCACGTATATAAATTAAGATCTTTCGAAATGGAAATTGTTTGTAAATATTTATAAAACAAAATACAAACATATACATATATATATACAATTACCTGTATATGCGTTAATATAACAGAGAAGACAAAATGATTTTGTTTAAAAATTCATTTACATTTTAATTATGTTTATCGCCTTATGTAATATGCATTACTTTAGGTAATAATATGAGATAATCTTCAAAGGTCGCTTAACATAAGTATGAGAATTATAATTAAGTTAAAGAGTTTTTCTTTTGTGTTTTCTTCTTTTAGTTTGTATACACAAGGATGTCACATAATATTATAAATAAAGGATATTTTTTATAATACAAAAATAATGTATTGGTACATGTATATGTATAATTAATGAAAAATGTTTTAAAAGGATGAATGATAGCAATTATTAAAAGATTGAAAGCGTATTTAAGACTTTTGTTTTTTCTTTTTGTAGATTATATCATTATAAAAATGTTCCAATTAAATAAGGACAACAAAATATTTACAAAGTTTATTGAAATTATGTTAGGTAAAATTATTATATGACTTAATTTTAAAGGGTTAGTGTGTTAAATTATTATGTTTTATATATAGTAACTAACTGTATATCTAGACTTACTTTTTTACAAATTAATCAAAATATTATATATAAATAAATTTAAACTCTTGTATAAACTATGTACCTATAGAATTACCAGACATTTTCCGAGAGAGTTTAAGGGGGATCCACTGCTCGAATTAAAGACATATAATAATAAAAATACCTTGTATCTTCTGTGGTAGAAAAATTATTACAACTATTCAT